TTTTCAAAGCGGTCGGGACGGTTATTCAACGTTAATGGTTTTTTACGGCCCAAGGCGTGTTTCAAACCCTCGTGCGACTTTGCCCGCAACCGACTTATCTCACCAGCCCGCTACGTCCAAACACTGTAGCCAGTGCTTGCGCCGGTGAGAGAGGTGAGAAAGAGGGTGTAAAAGGGGACGCGAGAATCTGGACCGCGCATGGGGTCCAAATCTCGCGCGTGGCCCCTCAGGGCTCGCGCATGTGCCTTGGCACTGTTGCGAGCGTGGCAGGGCCCACGATCGCAACAAGACAGGGCGAATGATCGCCCTGCCCATGCGCAGTACAGCGCACGTCCGAGCGCTGTACAGCACGACCGAAAAGTCGGTCGTGCATGATTGCGCACCTGAGGGGTGCGCGTGTGTTTTGGGGGGTGCCGAGGGATCCCGAGGGGTGCTCGGGGTTGACTCGAGATTTTAGTTGAAAAACTGAATCTCAGGTCTGTCTTTTCTGACGTGGCGAACTCGAAATTTCTCGAGAAAGTCACGCCGCATTGAAGAATGGTTTTCCCGCAGGTACAATTCGGTTGCTCGCGTCATCAAACGGTTAAATCCGTTTTACAACTGTAAACTCGCATGAACTTCACGTGAGGCTTATGGGAGCCATATGGGACTCATATGGGACACAAATGTTCATGTGAGGTGTCAGCATGGGAATTGCCTCAAATGACATCTATTTGCAACAGGGGAAAATAGGCAACAGCCCAAGAAGTTGTGCAACCGTTTTCAAGTACAGCGTGACAAAATCAAGGACTTCGCCCTCTAATTGCTTTAAGCTTTCCTTTGCTTGTGTGTTAGGCAAAAACATAAAATGCTTGCTTGTGCTTGTTTGTAATTAATCCTTTCTAGTGGAAATATTTTCTGAAGCTCTCTAACAAGTTAACGTGCTCTATCATCGTATTGACGTGAAGAGCTACTCTGCACATGAGCCCGTTTCGTCGTCAACGCTGCGCAACATAGTTTGGGAACGCTCTAGTATGCACGATAATTTTCATACTTAGGGAAATCCCTCTTCAAACACGGACCCTTGGATAGGGGCTGGTTCTACCAGGCACCCGAGGACCCTTGGAGGTGACCCCGTGGGGACTACCTAGTGTGAGTTAAAGGTGTGTTTAGAGCCTCTAGGTCCCAACTATCCGTCAACACGATCTCTGCCGCGTTTTCCTTTCGCCATTGCCTCGGGAACGACAGCGCAAACCCTTCCTGAGGGGGGTTGGCGGCACGTGCATCCGCGTTTGTAACATCCGCGCTAGAAGCCATCTCCAAAATGTTGACCACCTGGGGCTGACCCTTGGAAATTGGGAACCCCCAAGTGACTACCAGGTTCCCTGTTCCTCACCCGAAGGTGACTTCGGGGTCAGGTGCGCGCAGTTTTCACCCGGAGGTCACTTGGGGGTTATCGATTTTCACGAAAATCACCCCCCCTGACCCCCAACTGACCCCAACCTGACCAGCGGGGCGCCTTCCAAAAGAGCCGAACCGCGATTCAACAAACATTGACCAATCAGACACGTCCAAATTTATCGAGTCGCAGAAACGCAAACATTGACGAATCGGAGGTATGCGCCGCCCCGGATCGCATCTTAGGTAAACATTGCCCAATCCGATGCCCATAAAAAATATAATTCAAATTATTCGACAGAACAATGTACGAGAACAAGAAAACAAATCTGAAACGATTACACGAAAAATAACCACAGCTAAAACATCTACCTATTTCACATTATCATTATATTAGACATAAAAAATATAGAAACATTTACGAAATTCTTCAGGAAATAAGCGTCGTAATAATTACTCCAAATGGTTCTAATTTAGCTAACGCGAATAATTTTATGAATAAAAATATCGCTTTTTTGTTTATGTCACTAATATCAACATAGATGTTACTATGCTTACGAGTACTCTTAATAGCAAGTACAGAGTGCACGTTATCTCTGATGAAATGTTATATCGATTTACCTGCAGGGGAATCTGGTAACACGCTTTGAATTCGCGCGACAAGCGTACCACCCGTCGCGTAACCAAGTACGAACTTCGACCGAAACGAAGTTACAAAACCTCCCCCGCGATCGCAATTCAGGTACTTCGCGAAATCGGAGCAGCCTATCACGAGCACCATGAACCAGATACAACCAGAAACAGGCGAGCCTTGTACACTCTGGCCTAGCCATTGGTCTGAAAACTGGAAGCATCGCCAACTCAGTAGTTTTAGAGCAGTAATTTAGCGCCACCTGTGATGCACAGGTGGTCGTAATCTGCCAGCTCCGCCGAAAGCTCCACACATGCCACATGAAAATCAGCTGCACAAAACAAAAGAAAACCACACATCCAACTCATCCTATATCCTCTCCAACCCTTTCAAAACACCTCGCCCAACCCCAGTACCGTCGCTTAACCTTTCCGAACCGTCTAGTACCGCGATCAAGCAGCTAGACACCAAGTTAGGCCTGCTCTGCTGCTGAGTCGATTTTCATTTGCTTACAGATGCTCGCGCTTTGTGTCTGCTGTGTACGCACACAGCACTTATGAAACATATTCATGTAGCAATGATGCTCGATCGGGTTGTGTTTCGTCGTGTTTAGATAGATTACCATGCATTAGTGATGTCGTATACCTAATATGACGCACAACTTCGCCCACATGCTTCTCCTAAATTATAAATTTTAAAGGTTTTTTGCCCTTCTCCTTGCCTATCGCTTTTGCAGGTTCTTCAAGCGAAGCCCCCACCGCATTCACCGCCGCACCGGCGTCGGAGCTGCCGCCTCCTGATCGAGCGCCGATGGGAAGGGACGCGAAGGGTGGTGGCAAGGAGAGATGGCGCGGGGGTTTCGGCGGGTGGCGGTGATGGCGATAGTGGGGAGCGACGAAGGTCTCACGAAGGGCAGCAACGGCTCCAATCGAGGGTACTAGCAGCCGTGGGTGACTATCGACGAGGTAAGAAAGCGTCTACTTTACTTTCCCGTTCCTTAACCCAACATCAGTGCATGTGGCGGTATGTTGGCTTTTGTTATAGGGCGCGTCTGCAAGACAAAAGACCATTGTCAATTCTATTATGACTTGTGTGCAGCACGCGCTACGCTTATCTGGTGAACGAAGAGTATGAGCATTTTCGATGTGATGTGGAAGTAACAGTTAGTGCAGCACTTAGGTATGTACTGTCGTTTACATGTTAATGTTTTTTTCCGGCTGCATTTATTGCGCTTGGGGGAAATAGACTCTGTCTGCTGCTGGTGTGTGGCAGGTGGTGTTCAAGCTGCAAGATCTATAGTGTTTTGTTACTTACCATGTCGCGTCGCTATGTAGTGTGTAGATGTGCGTATTCTGTCTGTCATGTACAGCTGTAGATGCCCTGCATTTGCTTGTATAACACACCTGAATATATTGCAAATTCTAATCTCAACTTTGTTGACCGTTATTTGGGACGAAGAGGCTCTTAACACGCCTTTAATCAACACTAGGTAGTCCCCACGGGGTCACCTCCAAGGGTCCTTGGGTGCCTAGTAGAACCAGCCCCTATCCAAGGGTCCGTGTTTGAAGATGGATTTCCCTAAGTATGAAAATTATCGTGCGTACAAGAGCTTTCCCAAACTTCGTTGCGCAACATTCGACGACGGATTGGCTCGTGTGCAGAAAAGCTCTTCACGTCAATACGTTGATAGAGCAACTTAACTCGTCGAAGAGATTCAGAAAATATTTCCACTAGAAAGGATTGAGGGCAATCAAGCACAAGCACACGTTTTATATTTCGTCTCACATACAAGCAAAGGAAAATAGCGAAACAGTTATTTAACTGCATTCTAGAATTTCGCCTTGCTATCTTGGAAAACGGTTGCTCAACTCCATGCGAATTTGGCTTGATTCTCCTCTTGAAAATACCTGTCTTCAAATTCCACAGATGACAATTACCTTGCTGACTCAAATGAGTGCACTCATGAGTTCCAATGTAGCTCCAATTTGGCACTCATGAATTTCATGCGAGCAAACAGTTGTAAAACGGTTTTTACCGTTGAGAAAACGGAATAACCGTTTTGTACCTGCGTCAAAATTATTCCGCAAAGCGGTGTGACTTTCGTGCGCAATTTCTTGTTCCGTGAGTCAACTCCGAAAAACAGTTTTTCAACTGTAAATTCCGAGCACCCTTCGGAATCCCGCAGCACCCACTCGAAACACACGCGCACCCCTCAGGCGCGCAATCATGCACGACCAGACAAACTGGTCGTGCTGTACTGCGCGTGGGCAGGGCGATCATTCGCCCTGTCCTGTTGCGATCGTGGGCCCTGCCACGGTCGCAACAGTGCGCGAGCACACGCTCAGGCCCTCAGGGCCCACACGCGAAATCAGGACCACACGCGCGGTCAAGATTTTGCGTGCTTGACCAGCGCGAAAGTCAACAGCACCCCCTTTGACGAGTCAAAGTATCGAGCCCCACAAACACCCCACGATACACCACTCGCTCACATATGCCACGCATGAAACATAGCAAGCAAATGGGACTTTCATGGGAGGCTCATTTGAGCCTCATTTGAGAGCTTCGCGTGAGCCTCATTTGAGCGCTTCATGAGAGCCTCATTTGAGCGCTTCATGAGAGCTTCATTTGAGCTCATCATGTGAGCCTCATTTGAGCGCTTCATGAGAACAGTGAAACTGCAAATGAAAATGCACTAACACAAAATGCAATTATGAATGAAAACGAAACACACAAAATGCAAAAACGAATGCGCACAGAACACACACAAAATGCGCACACACAAAATGAAATGACATTTCTCACGCCACAAATTACCTTCAAACAAGACTCCCCATTTTCTTTTACCGTCTTCGAATAGGCGGTAGGTTGACGTGCAAATTAAGTATTTGCACCCAACAAACTCCCCCTCAACCTGGCGACTATTCGAATCCACCCACGACATCACTAGAAATTACAGCTCTCTTCACTGCTTCCGTCACTGACATAGGAGTATTCACTGCTTTCCCTCCTGAACTAACTCTTTGCGTTTGCCTTTCACCAGCGCCGCCGCATAGCTTATCCCAACTCCAGTTTTAGGGAATGCACTCATCTGCTCCCCCGCAATCTCGGCTTCCTTCAAGCCCGGCTTCACCTTGGGTTCACCAATCTCCTTAGCCTCATCAGCTGCATAACCTCCCACATTTAGCACCAAAGATTTCTCCTTCTTAGCAGCACCCTTGAGCTGCACCATGCCCTTGTGTTTCTGCTGATCACGAGTATCACTCTTGGGAACATCCTTCTCCTTGTTTGCAGCGGCCGCCTCAACCATGCTCCCCTTGAACTTTGCACCGTTTTTCTCATCAGCACTGAGCACATTTCTCTTTTCAGCTGCTGCAAGACGAGCGTTGACCTGCTTCAACTGCTGCACCAGCATCTCCACTGTAGTTTTCAGCTCCTTAATAGTTTCAGCAGCCACGGTAGCACACTCTCCCTTGCAGCTACACACCCCATTCTGCTTCTCAGGTACCACCTCCTTCCATGGCACCACGGGTACATGCCAAAGCTCATCAAGCATGTCTTTGTCTTCATGCAGGTCCCACAACACACGGTCACCGAGCTTCCCCACACTGTACGTGCTACACTGAATTGTTTGAATTTGTATTTTTACATATTTATTATACCAGATAAATCCAGCAGAGAAAAGTACGGATTAGAAACATTCAATATATACAGGTGCATTCTACTAGCTAATGCAGCGAATCTACAGCTGAACATTACACACATAATATACTTATCTACGCACTACATAGCGACAAGGCATGCTAAGTAACAAAACGGTATAGATCTTGCATCTTGAACACCATCTGTCACACACCAGCAGCAGACAGAGAGCTCATATCCACCAAACGCACATAAATGCAGCAGAAAAAAAAAATAACATGTAAACGACGGTACATACCAAAGTGCTGGACAAACTGTTACTTCCACACCACACCGAAAATGCTCATACTCTCGCCAAATAAGCATAGCAACTGCTGCACAAAAGTCAGAATGCAAAACGTTGTGAGGGTGAAAAAAAAAAAAAACGAGTCCAAGTAATGTCAAGTTGGGAAGGCATACGGTACATGCGACTAGGAAAAAAGCATGTAAGACAAAACGCGGCCACATGTACTGCCATATTGGGTAATGAGCATGCTTTCTCACCTAAGTAGAAGTCGATGGTCACCCTCGGCTGCTAATAGCAGCGTGAACCACGGGGAAGAAGCCACGAATGGAGCCGTTGTTTCGTCAGTGGCGCAACGTCCAATTGCCCTTGGTGAGCCTCGTTGCGTCCTGCCATCGCCATCACCGCCACCACGCCCATCACCGCCACCCGCCCAACCACCCCCGCGCCCTCGCTCCTTGCCCCCATCCCGTGAGAGCATGCGAATGTGAGGGGCAAGAAGAAGGGGGAATGGCCATTAGAACGTTAATTGCTTAACAAAAACAATACAAAAAAAAAAAAATTTAACCGTACTCGGAAAAAATCGGTGAATACGGTGGGACCTTTGCTAGAACAGCCTGCAAAAGCGAGGCGCAACTAAACTAGTGCTAACAGTGCAACATCACGGTAACTGAACTATGGTCTAATTATCTTCAAGTGCTTAGTTGGTATACACGCAGATACAAGAGTGGAGCAGCTATTCCAAAGTGAAGAATGTCAAACTCATATGCTATAGTCTATCTAGGCTGTAGTGGGGTAGACACTATAGGGTACAACACTTCTAGGTTTCCTACTTGTACCCCCCTTGTTCCCTAGTCAATCCATTCCTTGTTCTTATTCTCACATGGTATTAGAGCAGAATCGTTCCTAGGGCCCACCGAACGTTCCACCCTGCCCTAACTGAAATATTTTTTTTAGCTGCCCCTGCAGCCGCGCTGCCCTTGCAGCCCGCGTGCTCCCCCTGCGACCGTGCTGCCCCTGCAGCCCGTGGGCGCTGCCTCTGCATCAGTGCCTGCCCCTGCAGCTCGTGGGTGCTGCCCCTGCAGCCAGCGCGCTGCCCTGCCGAGCCGCGTGTCGCCCGTGGGCGCTGCCTCTGCCCTGCCGAGCCGCGTGTCGCCCGTGGGCACTGCCTTTGCCCTGCCGAGCCGCGTGACGCCCGTGGGCGCTGCCTCTGCGACCCTCGTGTCGCCCCCCGCTGCCCCGTCGCGCTGCCCTGGTAAGCCGCGCGCGACCCCCCACTGCCACGTCGCGTCGCCCTGGGGAGCCGCGCTCGGCCCCCCCCGCTGCCCCGTCGCGACGCCCTGGGGAGCCGCGCTCGGCCCCCGCTGCCCCGTCGCGACGCCCTGGGGAGCCGCGCTCGGCCCCCTCTGCCCCGTCGCGACGCCCTGGGGAGCCGCGCTCGGCCCCCGCTGCCCCGTCGCGACGCCCTGGGGAGCCGCGCTCGGCCCCCGGTGCTCCGTCGCGACGCCCTGGGGATCCGCGCGCGACCCCCCCGCTGCCCCGTCGCGACGCCCTGGGGAGCCGCGCGTTGCCCCCTGCTGCTCCGTCGCGGCGCCCTGGGGAGCCGCGCTCCGTCCCCCTCGCTGCAGCCCGCGAACCGCCTCTGCAGCGTCGAGTGCGACCTGCCAAACCCTAAAAAAAAAAAAAAAAACGAGGAGCCCTAGGTGCTGCTGCCCTAGGTGCTACTGCTGCTACTGGCGGCCGCCCCTGCCCCGCCCTGCAGCAGCTGACGTCGCGGCCCTGCCCCGCCCTGCAGCAGCTGCCGTCGCGGCCTGGCCCTGCCCTACAGCAGCTGCCGCGGAGCTCCCTGCCGCAGTCGCGGCCCCGCCCTTCAGCAGCTGCCGCGGAGCCCTCGCCCTGCAGTGGTAGCGGCCTCGCCGTTGCCGCCGTCGTACGCCTGCCCTTCTCGCCACTGGTGAGCACTGCCCTGCCCGTACTGCTGTTACTGCTGCTCCTGCTGCTACTGATTTTTCTACAGCTACTGCTGCTCCTAGCGTGGCCAGATGCAGCTCCAGCGCCGTCCGCGTGAGTCCCTCACGCCCCAGCAGCTTCGTGAGTGGTACGCTAGCTGGGGTTGTAGGGGTGGCTGCGCTGCTACTACTGCTACTGCTGCTACTACTGCTACTACTGCTACTACTGCTACTGCTGCTACTGCGGCTACTACTGCTACTACTGCTACTGCTGCTACTGCTGCTACTGCGGCTACTACGGCTACTGCTGCTCCTGGCGGTGGCCAGATGCAGCTCCAGCGACGTCCGCGTGAGTCCCTCACGCCCCAGCAGCTTCGTGAGTGGTACGCTAGTTGGGGTTGTCGGGGTGGCCGTAGTGGGAGTCGTCCTGGAGTGAGTAGTTCGGGAGCTTCTTGTAGTGGCCAGGTGCAGCTGCAGCGTCGTCCGCGCGCGGTCCTTTCGCCCCAGCAGCTTCGTGAGTGGTACGCTCAGCTTGGAGGGTCACGGCGTACTGCTCGCTGCCCGTACGTCATTCGCACTGGTGCTCGGACTGGTCAGCCTTGCAGGACGGTTGGTCACACAGAGTCCCGCTGCTTCGCCCGTCTGAGCGACGCCTGGCGTACTGAGTTTGGCGACGCGGCTGAGCTCCCCGACTGGGTGGAGCTGCTTAGGCAGAGGGTAGATATCTATGCTCTTGACTCTGATGCTATCCTCACTGCCATGTATGCATTGCCTACTAGTGCTGAGGGTGCCTGTTACATGTGTGTGCCGCCTGACCCCGGTATCCAGTCTGCTGCTCTAGGTGCTGGTGAGGCTGCTGCTCTAGGTGCTGGTGCGTCTCCTGCTCCAGGTGCCGGTGAGGCTGCTGCTCTAGGTGCTCGTGAGTCTACTGCTCCAGGTACTGGTGAGTCTGCTCTCTCTGGTGCTGCGCCTGCTGCGGTCTTCCACACCTTCACCCTTGACTCGGGAGCTTCTCGCTCCTTCTTCCGAGACCGCACCACACTCACCGCCGCTTAGTCGGCCGGTTGCAGTCTCCCTGGCAGACCCCTCTGGGGGTCCTGTCCTTGCCCACTACTCCACTCTCCTACCGTGTCCGGCGGCCCCTTCTGGCTCCCTGTCAGGTCTTTACCTCCCCTCGTTCTCTACGAACTTGGTGAGTGGTGCTGACCTACAGGATGGGGGAGTTGACCAGTTCACTCCTGCGAGTCAGCGAGTGACCCACTGCACGTGTGCTCGGACGGGCCGACACTTGGCCACGTTTACCCGTCAGCCGGGGTCGAGCCTGTACACACTCACTACCGAGTCTCCTTCAGTTCCTGCGTCTGGTCAGGTAGCTGCGTCGAGTCAAATGTTTGCTGCAGCGTCCAGGTCTGGTCCTGAGTCTGCCCCCTGCTCGTGTCGTCTCCTGTCTCACCAGACTCTCCTCTGGCACCACCGCCTTGGTCACCCCTCCCTGCCTCGTCTCCGAGGCATGGCCTCCCGTGTCCTTGTCTCTGGTCTCCCCCGGTCCCTCCCTCCCCTTCCCCTGGGGCCTGCCCCTACCTGCGTTCCCTGCGTCGAGGGGCGGCAGCGCGCCGCTCCTCACTCCTCCGAGTTTCCTCCGACAGAGGCTCCTCTGCAGACTCTCCACATGGACGTGTGGGGCCCAGCCCGCGTCCGTGGACAGGGTCACGAGCGTTACTTCCTGCTGGTGGTTGACGACTACTCGCGTTACACCACAATCTTCCCCTTGCGCCGCAAGGGTGAGGTCACTGAGGTGTTGATCGACTGGATCCGCGCTGCTCGTCTCCAGCTCAGAGAGAGTTTCGGCTCGGACTTTCCTGTTCTGCGTCTGCACTTCGACAGAGGTGGAGAGTTTTCCTCCGACCTTCTGCGAGCCTTCTGTCGTGCGGAGGGCATCCGCCAGACGTTCACGCTTCCGGCCTCTCCACAGCAAAATGGGATTTCTGAGCGCCGCGTTGGCATGGTCATGGACGTCGCTCGTACGTCCATGATCCATGCGGCTGCTCCCCATTTTCTGTGGCCGTTCGCGGTTCAGTACGCGGCGCATCAGATCAACCTTCAGCCCCGGGTCTCGGTGCCGGAGACCTCCCCTACTCTGCGGTGGACGGGGAAGGTTGGCGATGCGTCTGCGTTCCGTGTCTGGGGATCTCGAGCTTTCGTCCGCGACTTGTCTGCGGACAAGCTGTCCTCCCGTGCTGTTCCCTGCATCTTCCTTGGCTTCCCTCCTGACGCGCCTGGTTGGCAGTTTTACCACCCCACCTCGCGCCGTGTTCTGTCCTCCCAGGACGTCACGTTTGACGAGTCGGTGCCGTACTACCGTCTCTTTCCCTACCGCGTTGCCCCCCTCCCCCCCCCGCCGCTCATCCTCGCGCCAAGTCCCCCCCCGGTAGACCCCCTTCCCCCTCAGGGTCCTTCCCCCTCAGGTGTGTCTCAGGTAGACGCAGTCGAGCCTGTCGAGGTAGCTGTTGACTCTGGTGCTGCTCGGGGTGCTGCGCCTGCGGGTGCCGGGTCTCGGGGTGCGGAGCCTGGGGGTGCTGGGACTGGGGGTGCTGAGTCTGGGGGTGCTGAGCCTGGGGTTGCTGAGTCTGGGGTTGCGGAGCCTGGGGGTGCGGAGCCTGGAGGTCCTTCGGGTGCTTCGCCTTGGCGGGAGCTGCTCTCTCCCCAGGAGCTGCGCGAGTGGTTTGATCGGCGTTGGAGTCGTGCTGCTGGAGCTGGTGCTGTTGCTGGTGCTGGAGGTTCTACTGCTGCTGGGGGTGCTGGAGCCACGGGTCCCGGAGGTGCTCGTACTGGAGGTACTGGAGCTGCTGGGCCTGGTGGTTCTCCTGGTGCTGGAGCTGCTGGAGGAGCTGGAGCTGGTAGTGCTGCTGGTGTGGGTGCTGCTGGGGGTACAGGAGCCGGAGCTGCTGCGTCTTCTGGTGGTCCTCCTGGCGCTGTCGCTGCTGGAGGTTCTGGAGCTGGAGGTGCTGCTGGAGCTGGAGCTGGAGGGTCTAGAGCTGGAGGTGCTGCTGGAGCCGGTGCTCCTCGAGGTACTGGAGTTGGCGCTGCTGGTGCTGCTGGAGGTGCTACTGGAGCTGGTGGTGCTGCTGGAGTTGGAGCTGCAGCTGAGGGTGCTGGTGCTGTCCCTGCTGCTACTGGCGGTGCTGCGCAGCCTCGGCCGTACTTCGTTTCCCTCCTTCAGCAGGTTCTTGGCCTTCCGCCTTCTTCTGGTCCTTCTCCTACCTTAGAGTGTCCACCGCCCATCCCGTCCGAGTCACAGTTACAGCTGACCGGTCCCCTGCCTGCCCCTTCTCCCTACGCTGGTCCTACTGGAGGTCTTGCTGAGCCTCGTGAGCCTGAGTCGCGTCCTGCGTCGCCTGTTCGTGCTGTTCGCACCGGTCGCCGTGTTCCGCGTCAGCGTCCTCCTGCGGTCCCAGGCACGCACCAGATGGCACTGCGTCCTTCCACTGCTCCCCAGCGTGTCCCTCTGCCGTCTCCTCCTGCGTCCTCTCTT